TTGGGCCAAAATCTGAGGCCCCCTCCACGTTTGGGCCTGAGGCGGCGGCCTCATTCGCCTCGCCTCAGGGCCGGGCCTGCTTAAACCCACTTTTTAACCACACACACTCTTGAAATCACTATTCAAAACATTATTTTAGCCAAATAATGACCATCAAAGAGGCTAATTACGCATCTCGTGAACTCCTAAAGGTCCATTGATGAACAAATCTTTTTGAGTTCATATATAAAGTTCTTCTTTTCCTTCTTGTTTTTCGTGATTGCTGATGATTAATTTGCATGCACACATAAAAAGTATGTTGAACATGTAGAGATTAACTCACTCACACGAGCAATAACCTCAAACATTTTGGGATGTGCTAAGATGAGGTAGAGTGATTATGTTGTGTATGTGATCAAATCACCTTGATGAATAATCAATTTGCGATTACAATGAACAATCAAAATGAATTATGCTGTTCATTAGACTTGTTTAACTGTCAATTGAGTTCTCGATTGAGAATGCATAGAGGAATAAATATAAGGATATACTCGAGTTAGACATCGAGAAATGCGTGAACTAAGATATGTTCAGTGTACTAATTTATATGTATGCCCTATTAAAAGGAAAAAATCCCGTAGCACGTGTTTAGTACCATGTGTGATTTGGCAATGATAGAAGTGAAAGAATGGATCATTGCTTCACTGTGTGAGTCCATGATATGTATATATATAACTCGTTTGTATATCCTTATGATTTTAAATGTTTCTCAAAACTTTATGATAGTGTTGCTACTTTAGTATATTGACATTAATAATGAATGATTTGGTTTTATGTGATATGTCTAGAAAAGAAGCAAGTATAAGGTTAAGAGATTTGAGGACTATTCTACCTAACACATTTGTGTTTGCCGGTCGGACAATTGTATTGACGATTTGAGGTTTGGGAAACAATTGTAAATACAATATAAGAAGTAGATCAAGTATGTTCTTGGTTAAGAGTTTAGAAGTACTTGAACTAGATGTTAGGGTATAATGAGAAATGACATTCCTCTTATAGAATTACTATATATCCATAACACATGTACAATATTGTATGTTCTGAGTTACTCGCTAATCACAAGATCTATTTACCGGTATGAACTCTATGAGTTAGATTTTTTAGACAAATTTAAATGATGATACTTCATTTCAAGTCAAACATATCATGTGCGAATAAGAAATGTTGAAAATGAGTGGATGCCCATGTATGTTAACCCGACGCATATAGTATGGTAATGGGTTGGAGGGATAAATTATTTTAGTTTGAGGAATAACTTCCCATCACCCATAATCAACTTCAACTCCCTAGTGTTCCAAAATATATGATAGTGGAAGGTTGTGAGAAATCATGGAAAAATGTTCAAAATTTATATAGGAAAATGGCACCATATTGAAAAGCTAGAAATCATGATTCTCGGGTATACAATCATCTCTTAAAGGACATTTGGATTGTGAAAAGGGAACTATTTCCATTGTGATCGATTCTGAACCAATAAAGAGTACGTGTAGATAATAAGACAATTGATTCAATTATCTTGAAAATTCTTCAATTTCAAGTAAGTTTCAATGTTAGAAGAATGGTAAGTGGATATTTATTATTTACACATGCGAATGCCAAGAATTCTCCTTTTGTACTTAGTGAATAAAAAAGACATCTAGGATTCTTCACTTGAGACTACGAAATCCCTTTTTCTGGCACAGCAAACCTGCAGTCCGACAAGCTGCAGCTGCAAGCTATTTTGTCCAATACCTTCCTCACCAGCATCCATCTCTTGAATTGATTGTTGGGCCATATGCGGGGCAGCGGATGTAGATGCCACACACCACCAAGCAGGCAATAAGTCTTCAGTAAGAAGGCAAGCAATATCTGGATCAAAGACATGACATGTTGTTGTAACTGCAGCAAGAAAGATGGCTCCTCCAACAAAGATCAAATGACCAATGCATGCACTTTGGTGAGAGATATCCACATCCAATCTCTCAATACACTTGAGCAAAACAATCCAGTCAAGCAACTCTCGTTTTCTTTACAGAATCAGAAATCATCGGTCGTCCTCGTCCAGCTACAATGTTTTATGCGTTAAGCGTTTGGGTTGTGTGTTATTGGTATCATCGGGCAATTTCATCTTGATAGAAGCTTGAGCTTGTGATTCTGGTTTCTGATCTTGATAGAAAGTGTGATGCACGCTAGAGCGAAGAAACTCAGTAGGAAACAAACATTTATTATATGTATCTTTTATTCATTAAGCATTTAAGCCGTTTAGCTAAAAATCAAATTTTTAATAAAGTTTAATAAAAGTTGATGAAATGTGTGATTTAAGATTTGCAAAAAGTTATAGGTTCTAAAAATGTTTGGTTAAAAATGAATTTGAGGAAAAATAAGCTTTAAAAAATGTGGATCAAATAAGGGCTAAATGCTAAATATTTAGCATAAGTAATGCTATATAGCACTATTTGTACTAAAATACTTGTCTATATGGGCATCATAAGTTCAATTAAATGGTGTCAATTCTCGAGTCCACATCATTTTGAATGTTGATTTCAAAAACCCAAATCTTAATTTTGATTTTTTTAGAAAATAATTAATTTTATTTTTATATTGACATGCATACAATTTTCATAAAATGTAATACCTATTTTTAAAAAAAAATTATGGATGATCGAAACATCCATGGTTCCTTATTTGCTAAGTGATTTGAGGAATGTTCAAAAGCAATGTTCTAAAATGCACACATATACTTCGCATATGCCCACATATTCTTGATGCGTTTCAAAACGCCTAGCATATGAAATATGCAAGTGGTAATGAAGCCAACTCATTTTGTTGACAGCGTATACATGCTTAAACGTCAAAATGTACATGTATTTATATTAAAAATTGTGTCAAAATTAGCATAATAAATCTCAACCCATTTTTATAACTTAAAAAATCAAATTAAGCCCAAGCCATGAATTATGTTATATCAATCTGTAAGATTTTGACGTTTAGAAAAATAAAAAATCAAAATAAATTTTTCAAGAATTGCAAATTATCTACGTCGATCCTGAGCCTGCATCTTCTGCGATCTTCCTCTAGTTATACGAGGGTGTTTGGTAGAGATTAAAATCGGATTAAAATTGAAAAACTAGCCGTTATTGTTGACTTTTATTAGATGAGTGAGACCCAATAACGGTTATATTTTCAATTTTAATTGGATTTTAAGCCGTACCAAACAGGCCCTAAGCAACTTGGATGTATTAAATCTTTTATATCCACATTTATGAAAAATTCTAGTTTTGATTTTTTGTTTCTAAAAGTGATACTAGTAATATACAATCTTGAATTGTTACTAATTGTGATGAGGAGGAGGAAAATATCAAAATATCTTACCGAGATAATAGAAATTATCGAGTTGAAATAAGAGAACTCGATGAAGATGATTTTGCATCGGATGACACGACAGATAATTTGAATGAAGAAGTTGAGATTGTATTGAAATCATATGAAAAGTCAGAAAACATATTAGATTTTTAAGTCCGCGTTTCGTGTTTAATCCAAATGTAAGAATTGATTACCAATTAATTGTAGTATTTATAATTTTAAGAAATATGTTTTTGTTGAAAATTTGAAGAATACGTATAAAATTCAAATCACTGTAGTATTTATGATTTTAAGCAATATATTTATTTTTAAAAAATTGAAAAATATGTGTAAATTTCATAGAATGCATTATTTTATTTATTTATTATTTTAAAGTATTTAAAATAATATTAAAAATTGACAAATGCATAATTACGCATATACTTCGCGTATGTACATATATACTTATAATGCTTGATATTCGACTGAAACGCATTATACATTTTAGAACCCCGATCAAAAGTAATCAAATTAGAATAACCATACTAATAATTAATAGGTCTATTTCGGAGATACCTTAAAAAGCTTCTCAAGTTATCGCTGCATCAAGAGTGATCGAAATACAAATGGGTTACAAACATTAAAATCAATTCATACTACGTATTTCATATTGATACGTATTCATTTTTAGTACAGATTCTTTAAATTTATTTATTTTAAAATCGTTTTATTTATTTAATAAAATATTTTTTTATAAAATTCGTTCACCGTATACTCCGCATCGCTCGGCTCCTTACCCGTACAGGCTAAACACGTTCTTACTGTAGTCCAGCAAAGTAAAATACACGAAATTGGAGTGGCTGGTGAGTTAAGAGTGATAAGATCGCACAGTAATCGATGGCAACTCCAATTCCGAATCGTCTACTTTTCATCGACGGCGAATGGAGGGAGCCTATCAGGAAAAATCGCATTCCCATCGTCAATCCAGCCACTGAAGAGATCATCGGTCAACTCAAACCTTCTCTTAAATATTTCTGTTTGAAATCTTATTTTTTTTCCGTTTCATTACTTTTGTTTACTTTCTGCTTGAAGCCAAGTGTTTGGCGCGTTAAGTTTTTTATTTTTTTTTCTGTTTTTCATTGAGATTGATGAAGTAGAATCCGAGAAACTATTGATTTTGTGAGTATCAAGTGTGTCATGAATCTGATAAATGTTTTTTATTTCATTTTATGTGTTTTCAGGGAATATTCCAGCAGCTACAGCGGAAGATGTGGATATTGCGGTGGAAGCTGCCCGAAAAGCACTTTCCCGAAATGGAGGCAAAGATTGGGCTTCAGCTACAGGGGCACATCGTGCCAAGTATTTACGCGCCATTGCTGCGAAGGTCCATATTTGATATGTTTCTTGGGGTCTTTTATTAGTGCTGTTTCAGACTTCTCCATATTAATTTGCATCAAGATCTTGATCTTTCATGTCCGATTATATTTTGTTAAATTAATAGTGATAGGTTTTGCTTATACGTGCATAAAAAATTTTAGTTACTAGTCATTGCATGTCTACAAGTCTAGCTTGAACACTTCCACGCGCACATGACAAACAGCAGTTGATGCAGAAGGGTGTTCATATTATTTTCACTTTCTCGAAGAACTGAAAATTAGTGGCTGGTGGTGACATCTACAGTTAGTATTGGTGTTTATTTTCTTCAAACTTGAAAAAGATTTTAATTCTAGATAGCAAAAAATTTTACGAGTGAATTTCGGGAAATGAAAAGGCAAAAGCTTTTTGGTTTGGCTAATTAAAACAAACTGGTATCTATAAACCATTTTGTTCAAGTGCTAGAGGGGTACTCATTTTTGGTAATAATGGACAATATATTTTAAGTAAAAGGTGAGCTTATAGCAGTGTTTGTAGCTATATGTAAATGATTTTATGGTGGTGATTAGCTGCAACCCTAACTCAGCTAGCTAGGGTAATATTTACATCGTGTGATCTTTCTTCTATTTTACAATTATTATCATGTTTTCAGCCGGAAATTATTGTTAATTTACATCCTTGATTATATTTTAAAGACAGACAATGAACTTCTGCTTTCATCATTCGATGTACGTTCATTGAATTGTTATTATTCAGTGAAGTACAATTCTAAACACTTTAATGTTAACTCTTGTTACATATCTTATTGTTTAGTGAGTACGATTGAGATTTATTCTTTTCTGCATGTACTTTGTTCAGATACACGGCCATGGATGTTTCTGTCCATAAATGCATCAATAAAATTTACCTTTCTTGTTCATTATTAAGCGTGATGGATATTTAAGGTTATTTGCTTGGTTTAGATGTCTGGCTGCTTACTCTTTCCACTAATATGTAGATTACAGAAAGGAAATCAGAATTAGCAAAACTCGAAGCAATCGATTCTGGGAAACCATTGGAAGAAGCAGTTTGGGATATAGTATGTTTTAAATACCTGAAGAAACATTTTTCTGATGCTCTATATTATACATGGACTTTATGCTTATTCACGTCATCCAGGATGATGTTTCCGGATGTTTTGAATATCATGCTGAGCTTGCTGAGGCTTTGGATTCAAAGCAAAAGACTCCAATTTCTCTTCCAATGGAGGCATTTAAGTGTCATGTTTTGAGAGAACCCCTGGGGGTTATTGGGTTGATTACCCCATGGTGGGTGCTGCTTCTTTGGCTGATTCTTATAATTTTATTCTTATTACAGAAATAATAAAGGAATATCTGTTCCTCTTTCTGCAGAAAACTTATGTGTCACGCATACATGCCATAATGACAAAATTTCCGCATTATGTTCTTTTGTAATCTATTTAGTTTGCTGATTGTGTGAAATAGTTTGTGGCTTGTCTATTCTGTAAGTGTTATGACTTGGTCACTCTCAACCATAATTTGGAATTATTTCCTTGTTTAATTAGAGTTTTTGGAACTTTATATCAATAAATTGGGCTGCAAATTACTGGCATAACTTCAAAAGTTGGTATTTGATTTTCCCTACGTATATTAAATATTTAATACTTCTTTATGGGCTGAGCTTAAATAAGTGAGTCAATCTAGTTTAGACAATGAACGCTAGGAAAGCATTCCATCAGATGATCTTGTATGCTATATTTGGAAAGAAGACTTCTATCATATGAGTTGGAACATATTATCATCTATGGGTACATTGGACAACATAGTTTGCAGGGTGGGAAATCCCAAGAGATATATACTAAAGCAGATCTCTCTTCCGGCTTTATCGCATAAATGAAGGGGAGAATTCGTGTTCTCTATCTGCTCTCCTCCTATGGTTTGGCAACCAGTTCTTAAAGATTTATTGTATATTGACTTGGCTTTGCTTACTTACCCCATCATGTTCTCTTTCTATCTGAGAAATGGACATATGATGACATCAAGAACATAAAATTCAGCAATGTGCTAATGTTGTTTTCTCTGTTCTCTAAGTATACACTGTAAGAAAATGAAAAGAAAGAAAATAAACTGTTAATGTGGCAATTATAAGCTGCTCTCTAATAATTCACCAATGCTTTGTGTTAGACTCAATCTTTTAAGTGTGTTGGTGCAATGTATATTCGTTAGAAGAATAATCATTGAAACTTTGTTGAAAGAGATTGTACTTGATGCATCATACCATGAAGGTTAGGTCTTATTGGCATGGATTCAATCTCATGAACTAATAAATGAGTTTGTCATGTATAGCACTTTCTAAAATTATTGGGAGATGAGTTTCTTCACCAAGGTAATTATGTTTGTTGGTCGTGTCGATGGTTGAACACGACGAGTTTTACACTGATCATCTATCCTGAATTAACTGGCAGCATGGGTAGTGATTGACAGATAAATTTTGTTTTTCATTTTGTAGGAATTACCCTCTATTAATGGCCACATGGAAAGTAGCCCCTGTCCTGGCTGCTGGTTGTACTGCAGTACTTAAGCCATCGGAATTAGCATCAATGTAACTCTTTTTTATTAATAAATATTAATTTTCTTGGACCAGCTGTTAGTGTCTTCAGCTGTACGATAACACCTGCAATTTCTACTGCAGTACTTGTTTGGAGTTAGGTGAAGTGTGTAAAGAGGTAGGCCTTCCACCTGGCGTTCTCAATATTCTGACTGGACTGGGGCCAGAAGCTGGTGCTTCTTTGGCATCTCATCCTCATGTTGACAAGGTGAAGTTTTCCAACTTTTAAGGCTGTGTATGGTTTGGGTTGGGTTATAAACTAGTATGAGGTGACAATGACTCTGTAATTGATCAACAGATAGCATTTACTGGGAGTAGTGCTACAGGTACCAAAATTATGACTGCTGCAGCTCCACTTGTCAAGGTATGGTTGAGAATGGAGGCAGAGTCTAGTTACATGCGATTCTTATCAACTATACAAATTTGTACTCAAAACTTTTTCAATTTTATGTTGCTTGCAGCCAGTTACACTTGAACTTGGTGGAAAAAGCCCGATTGTTGTGTTTGAGGATGTTGATCTCGATAAAGGTTTGAGCCTTTTGAATCATGAAATTATAGCCCTAGTTTGCTATTTACATGGTTTGAAGAAACTGGATTACTATCATTTGAATCAATTGGGACTTTGGATTTAAATGGGGGGTACCATTGAACACCCACCCCTACCCAAAAAAAAAAAAAAAAACACAC